CTTTTAAAATAATATTTATAAAATTATCTTTACTAATAAATAAGTAAATATAAACCTTATAATTATAATTATATTTAACTTTTAAGTTTAAAATAACTTTACTTTCTTTATCTATAAGAAATATATATAATAGATCTTCCCCTATTTATATTAATAATATATTAATATTATAGCTAATTTGCCTATTTAGTAATATAGCCTGTCTTATAACTTATTTAATCCTCTTTTCGCCGCCAATACCAAATTTAGTTATAACTTTAAGTCTTTAACTTTAGGCAACCTAAACTTATATAAAACTTAATATATTTTTCCTTTAAACCCTGCAATTACCCCGCTTCTATCCCAGATATTACAGTATAATATCCCCCTATCTTCGCGCTCTTATAATCTAAGACCATAACCAGCCTAGTCTATATATTACTAGCCATTAATTAGCTTTATAGCCTTTATTAGCTTTACTAACTATTTCTTTATATTATTACGTTATTATTTATAAGGGTTTTTAAGAATTATTAATTTAAGGTTTTTAATAAATCCCTTATTACTTACCTTTATAAGCCTTTTTATTATAAGGGATTACTTTAGCTTTTATAATAACTTAATCTCTTTTTTAAGGTAGCCTTTAGAGATTATTAGCTTTTTATAATAATAATATATAAATAAGAAAACTTTATAGCCTAAAATAGCTTACTTAATAAAGGAAATATTATCTTTTTTATTTTAAGTCTTTTTAATCTTTATTATTATAATATAAAGCTTATTTTTATATTTATAGTCTTTAAGAGTTATTATAAAATAAGGGATTAAGTTAGGCATTTTAATATAAAAGGCCTTATTAGGTAGCTGCAGGCTTCTTTAGACAGGCATTATAATAGTGCAGCTATGATGCTGTTAGCGGTTGCGGTTAGAAGGGAAAGTCAGGTCGGATGACTTACTGAAGCGTGATGGATGATTGAAGCGTGGTATCCTTTTAGGTGGGTTATAGGAAGAAGGTCAGGGCTAGCTAATAAGTAGGGCTTTTTAGCTGGCATATATATAGCTAGGTTTAGGCTATAATTAAGGCAGCTAATTATAATAATTTAACTTAATAAAGCTTTACTAGCTATAGGGGCAATAAATATTTAAATAATATTAGATTTTAGAAATACTTAAATATACCTTTTAAGGCTAACTTATAAACTTATAAAAAAAAAAATTTAATAATAAATTTTATAGTATTTACTTTAAATATATAATATTAATTATTTTTAATATTCCCTTTAAGATAATAAGTATTATAAAAATAACTTTTAATGCCTTTACTTAGTTAAATTACTATCTTATAAATTAAGTAAATTAAAATAGAATATTTAAATAAAATAATAGCTAGACTATTAATTTAAATAGTAATATAAGTCTAGATTAAGGGCAAAAAGTTAAGGGTCTTTTTAATAAAGTAATTAGTATTATTATAGCTAACTCTTTTTTATTTTTTAATAGTAAAAGTTATATTAGGATTTATATTATTACTTATATTATTATACTAGTTAAATAGTAAATATACCTTATATATATACTTTTTAATAATATATATAGCTAGTTATTAATATATTTAAGTATTAATTCCCTAGTTTTATATCTCTTTTAAAGTAGCTTTAATTACCTTTATACTATATATTAGTGCCTAAGGCTTATTATTATATTAGAAAAGTAAGTATTTTTATTTATAAGGTATTATTTAATTAGTTAAGCTAGACTGCTCTTATTAAAGTAATACTATAAGATATTATATATAAATAAAGTACTTAACTATAATAATTAATATTATATTAGTAGAAATTAAATAATATAAAATTCCTAGTTTATTAACTACTTAGCTTTATAGTACTATAAAGTATAAATAATTAAGCCACTTTATATAAAGATTTTATAAAGTATATAAGAACTATTTTTAATTACTAGGCTTAAGAGCTTGCAAATTCTTAATAAATAGCTATAAGCTATTAAAAATCTCTTATTAATATTTTCTTTTAATATTATTACTTTTTAAAAATATAAAGTAATTACTTAAAAACTCTAGTAATTATTTATAATAAGCCTAACTATATATAATATATAAGTTTAAATAAAAAGGTCTTAATATATTATATTAAAATTATTATTAGGATAGCTAATAAAGGAGGAACCTAGCTATAAGTCTATAAAATTATCTTTAATCTTATTAATATTTAAATTAAGCTTAAATCTAAATATTAGTTTATTATATAAGTCCTTTACCTAAGTAATAAAGTAATTAACTAGTTTATAAAACTCTTTTATAAATAGTAAGAGATTAATCTTATATAAAATAACCTTCTTATTATTACAATAATATAAAAGGAATAGAGGTAATTTAATTTTAGCTATTTTCTAATTAAAGTTATAAAGATTATATAGCTTTATTAATAGTATAAGTAAACCTTATATTATATATTTTTATTATACCTTATTTAGTTATTATATTAGAAACTATAATTATTATTAAATTCTAATAATAGGATATATGTAAAGAGGTAATATATACTTAAGAAATAATAAGCACTATACCTAGATAAGACTTACTAGGTTTAAATAATACTTTTTAAGTAGTTAAAATTAGTAATAATTAGAGGAAAAACTTAAAATATTATTAAAGTAAATAAGTAATATAACACTAGGTTATTTATTTATAAAGCTTTTTATAATAAGTAATAAGCTAAATTTAAGAAAACGCTTAAGAAATACTTTTAAGCTCTTAATTATTATTCTATTAATAGACCTATAGCCTAAGTTATAATAAAATAATAATATATTAGGCATATCTTAACTATCTATATTAGACATCTAATTATTAAAATTATTCTCTTTTTTACTCTCCTTAAAATTACTAACTTTTTCTTTATTACTTTTATAATTATTACTAAATTCTTTACTAAATATACTGCTATTATTATTATTATATAGGCTTCTAAAACTACTTAAGAAATTAATCTTAATATCTTTATAATTATATTACTAAGGAATATTAGAATAATAATTTAGCTCTTATAGCCTAGGCTAGCTTGGTTTTATTATATTAATATATTATTATATATAGTATTTTTATAGATGCTTTACTTAATTTTCTATTTATATAATTAGGCGAATTTTAAGTTCTTACTATCTTATTATAATTAATAAGAGGTATGCCTATAATAAAAATATAATAAACTATTTCTATAAAAATTAATTTCTTTTTTATATATTTTACTTAACTTTAAGAGTTAATAGCTTTACTTAATAAATATTAAGTCTAGAACTAGCTAGCTAATATAAAAGTACCTAAGTTATATTTTCTCTTATAAGCTTATATTAGTTTAATATAATATTAATAATACTTAAAAAACTTAAGATCTTCTCTTTATCCTTTTTAGAATTATATATAAATAGACCTTATTTAAGAATATAATATATTATTAATAAATTAATTTTAAGGAAGCGCGTTATTACTTATAGGATATCTTATTAAATATTTTTATTTATAATTTACTATTTTATATACTCTAGCTATAAGCTTATTACTATAAAGGAGTTATTAATAAAAGCATTATTATAAAAGTATAATTAAGTTTTAACTTCTTAATATATCTTTTTATATTTTAATACCTTATTAATATATATATATATATTAAGTAATACTTTACTATTATATATTAATCACTTTATAATAAATATTTTATTAAATTCTAAGGTATACCTATAGCTTATTAGCTTATAGCTAACCTTAAACTAGCTATTAGCTGCTTTAAATAAAAAGAACTGCTAATATATAATACCTACTCTTTATAGTTTTTAGGGCTATATATAAGTATTATAGATCCTAGGCTATCTATAACCTTAGGGATTAGTCTAGAAGTGCTAAGTAATATAGTATTATTAAATCTTTTAGATATTCTGGAAAATAAGCTAATATATTATATATCCCTGCCTATTAGGTTATAAGGGGTTAAGCTCTAGAATTAAGATAATTATAAAAGGCAGAAACTTAAATTTAGTACTTAATTATAGTTAGTTTTTACTCATTCTAAGGAGCTTATTAATAGCCTCTATTACTTAATATTATATAGCTAATATTATATATTTATACCTATTATATAAATAAGTAAATACTTTATTTAATATATACCTATAATAATATATCTAGTATATTAATACTTAATAGGATTTATAATATATAAAAGGGCCTAGTTTTATTATAATAAGTAAGAATAATATAATAGTAAATTATAATAAGTAAGAATAATATAATAGTAACTTATTAAAGTAAAAGTAAAAGTTATAACTTTAAGTGCTATATGCAGTTATTATATTATATACCTTATATAAGATATTAATATATTTTAATTAGCTAATAAAAATTAACTTTACCCTTATTAATAAATTTAACTCTACTCCTTATAAAGCAGGGTAAGAAAATCAATTCTACTATAATTAATATTATTATTAACTACTAGGGGAAACGAGATTAAGACATCAATTAGCGAAATATATATATTTTTAGGTTTTAGAGCCTTATAGGCAGTAGCCTACTAAGCATAATAAATCTATCTATCTATCTAACTACTAGGGGAAATAGTAAAGCATTTCTTCATTTAATATATAAAATAGATAATATAACACAAAGACATATTTTAGAGTATAAATAAGAAATACAGTAACCTCTCCTTTTATCTAGGAGATAAGGCAGTATTAAATAGTTAGAAATAGAAGCTAGATATAGACATAATATAGGCCATAATTAGGTTTGTAATTATTATAGGTTGCTTAGAATAGAGGTAATATAAATACTACTAACCTAGTAATATTTTATTAATACTAACTAATAACCCTTAAAGCCCTTAAATAGTTAATAATAAGTATTACTTTAACTACTAAAGATAGGAAACTAAATACTTAGAGGAATTAGGCTTTAAGTTAGCTTGCTATATACTAATATCTATAAAAATAAGAGAGAAGAATAATAGCTAGACTAGAAAGAATAAGGCAGGATTTTCATAGGCTTAGCAAGAGCAAGGCAAAAACTAGAGAGTTATATATAATCTTAGCTTCAGAGCCCTTTAGGCGTTGGCCTACCAGGCGTAATAGACTTGTGTGTGTGTGACTACTAGGCTTGCGTGATCGAAAATCTATTGCAAGAATAAATTCAAAACCATTGCCAGCAACAAGAATACACAGCATCCCCATACGGTGATGCTAACCCCAAATCTTGTACCACCTCGACTTTCTCTCAAACCCTGTGCTAGCTGCATTTGCCTCGACAATTCTGGATCGTCTTTTGGCCCATAAAGCTCATATAACTGCCACAGTGATATACCTCCGGGAAATTCCCTTGCCAGCGATGGCGGAATACACATGTCCGTAATATTTAAGTCCACCGCTTCTTTAGTGCCATGGGTTGGTCCAAACCTTATCCAACACTTGGATATAGAAACCCGAGGCTGATCTCTCCCTCGCACGACTTGATTAACTGCAAGCATGCGATCGTGCGTAGGAAGATCGGGGAGTGACCAACTGAATACCACTGGTGTCACAGCATCATATTCTAAATACTTAGCTATACGCGGCCAATGATATTTCTCTTTTTCAAACATAGTCCCATATATCCATGCCTGACAGATAAGGCCCTGCCATGTTGAGAGAGGTATATCGTCCCATGGTGGAAGGTAGCCTTTGGAATTAGGGCTAAAGTCGAGCTGTAAAAGATATTCCTGGCATGAGACATCATCACCCTCCCTCTTTGTGGAAGCAGCTCTGAGAAGTGAAGCACGTATGCTGTCTAAATGCATCCATGGATGATCAGTGTTGGTCAGTTCCCAGCGCAAATATTGCAACCAGCCAATCCTAGCAGCAGTTTCTAGCACTGAAACCGTCGCTGGTGTTCGCTGTCCTCTGTCGAATTGCCGGAATGTGTTCCAGTTTCCTGTATGTTGTGATTGGAATAACCAGGAGTCTAATTCTGATAGTTGCTGGAAAACGAATGTGTCACCATCTTTAAAATTATCCCTTAGCCACGTTAATAGCATTTCTAGGATATCATAATTAAATAATGATGGCACAAACGGCCCCGAAGCTTTCCACGTCTGTGTGAGTCCTTGGATCATGGTCAGCTTTTGGTCAGCTGCTGAATCGGTGATCTTGTTAACTCGAAGTTGTAGGAACTCATAGACAGAGCGATGTGAAACCTCCAATCGGTAATAGTGAACTGGCAGTATGCGCCTCTGGCCCATTCGTTTAGTGTTTTTGATCGAGGTAACCATTCCTTTTAAGAGTAGTGGCAACCTTCGCTCAAAAGCTTCCACATGTTCTCCTAGCCAAATCGGATCTCCACAGTCTCTTCGATCAGCTGTGCTCAAAGATCTGTTGTGGCCAATGCACTGCCGAATAAAAGAGAATAAAAATGTTCGATGTGGGGGTTTTGTACGAAGTAAGATATAGAGAATTGTGTAAGCCTCCTTCCTATCTGGTTCAGGAAAATCATTCAAGATCTTTTCATAAAAGGCCTCTAAAGACTTTGGGAGAGTTGACAGAGTCCTGTAAAGCTGTGGGAGATCCTCGCTGTGATCCAACTTTTCTGTAACGTATTTCAGAACGAGCTTTACCCAGATAAACACCCCGTTTGCCTCATCGATAAACTCCTGAATAAAGCCAAGTTGGTCTTCCTGGGGGAAACTTTGGAAGTCGGGGTGTTCAAGTATGTCGTTTTCGATAGCTTTGCGTATGTCGTCTCGTGTGACTGCATGTAACCTCATTCTCTGGCCGGACGGAAACCTTGTAAGCCAGGGATCTTCTTCTCGGCTAGAGACGCAAATTTTGACATTTCCTCCGGCCCATGATAGTAACCGCATCGCTAGCTTCCATTTGGGAAACGTTATGTCTTCGAATTCGTCTGCACCATCCAAAAAAATGCAAAACCGATAGTTAGATGACGAATTAGTCAATACAGCCTCGAGTGCTGCTTCAATGTCTTCTTTGCTAATACGTTTCTTTTTATCACTCCGAAGTTTCAAAGACGGCCAATTCTCAGGATTCCAGAATTGCGGGAGTGCTTGGGGAATAAGACTTTGCCGGGCTTGATCCAGGATTGAGTACAAGAGGGTTCTCTGGAGTCCCTCCATGGACTTTTCCAAGCTTTGACCTGGCTTTGATAAACAGACAATGGCTTTGATGAGTTTCTTGCCGTCACCATCAGCCCACGAGTTCAAGAGTGTCTTGGCCTCTTTATGGTGCGCGATAAGGTTCATGAGAGTTGACTTGCCACTTCCAGGTTTTCCAGTAATGTGAAATATTCCATGTCCTTGTAAGAGCCACAGCTTAAATGATAAATCCAATGTATGGGTATGAGATTCTGGAATACTCTCGTCATACAACATCCACTCATAGGTACCCTTTGAAGCTGGCGCTTCATCAAGAATGGCTCTCTTTGTATTCATTCCTGGGAATGATATTCCATCAAGGATGCATTGGTGATTCATGGCCTGCAGTGTTCCTTGAGAAACCTGATAGAAGGTACGGATATGCTCTATGCTCTCAACCCAAGCATCTCGATCGTCGTTGGATTGTCTCTGAAGGTTGTCAATCATGTAGCGTAGCTCCGCCGCAGATGTAAACACTTGATTACGCAAATCGTTGAGGTCCTCTCCAAGTGGACTCACGATATCTCGCAAGTCTAAAGCCTCTCCATCCCGGCTGTTGCCAGCTTGTATCAGATCCTCAAGCTTAGCAAGGATATCGGACCTTTTTGGCAGCCATGTCAGTTACAAGAGAACCATAACAATGTACGTGAGCAGAAAGGGCCTTACCTTGATATCACAGCTAGGTGAATACTGAGCTGGGTTATGCAGGCAGTAAACTCATCTCGTAATGCTCTTGCCTCGGATCTGGTCCAGACAACGTGTATAGCGGCCTTGGACGTCTTCCCAATACGTCTTAATCTGTTACTGAGTTTTGCATTCGATGTATCTATTGACGAGTTTTCGGCTGTCTTTTCTCCTACTGGGTATGTATTGATAAGGCTGATGAGCCCTACGCCGATTTCCTTGCATCTCTCTGCTACGTCTAGCATGCCTCTTTCGGCACCGGAGAGACTGGCTCCGCCTTTGGTTGCTACTCCATCTTTCAATGACTGAAGGCTCGGGTCTAGAGCCGACGTCACTGTCTTCAGTCGCTCATAGTCGTCCAGGGTGCCATTGGAGGCATCGTACAGCTCATAGCCAGTTTTGGTGACTTTGCAGATAAAATCAACGAAGGAAAGGACCGCTGACGTAGCGCCAATGGCAGAGGCAGGGTCCATGGGCTATGATGTAGCCAACTGATGGCTCCCAGATATGAGAAAAGGAAAAAATAGCGAAGGAATTGACGGAATTGAGCCGATGAGAGAAATGCAAGGAAAGCGGGGTCAAGGTGAAAAGTGCTTAAAAAAAGTCATGAAAATCAGGCTCTGAGATGATACAGCCTCAACTTTCGATTGGCTCATATCCCGGCGCTTAGGTATTGGTGCCTAATAGATTTAGGCAGTCTTAAAGATAGCTAACAATACTTTAGTTGCTCTGTTTGCGAAAATCTATATTAATTAATACTGGCAGGAGTGGCATGGTTTTCGCCTGGGCTTTTAGTTACACGTATTGGAAAGCCTTTTCTCTAGCCACTATTAGTTAAGACTCTTTTAGTAAAAGGGGAGACCTTAAGACCATTGTTTGCGTTGACAGCCTGCCGATAATTAAATTTATATAGGAAATTTCATAGCGCTAGTAAAATATAGGTATTGCAATAATGAAAATAAGCAGGTGCTAATAATTAGCATTTTAGGCATTATAGTAGTAATAATAAGTTTAAAATAGGTATAAATATAAAAGAAATATCTATAAATTAATTAATATTAATATTAGTATATAAACTTATAATATTAGTAATTATATAATAAATTTACTTTAAGGTTATTCTTTTTATAATTATTAGGTAATAAGGTTTATAAATATAAATTAGTCTGTTATAGCTAATTAAAGTATATTCTTAACTTATAAAGTTTAGTAATAGCTATAGCTATATATCTTATTATATTTAAGTTATATTTAACTTAAATTACTAATATAAAATAAAAAGGTTTAAAAAAGGTATTAATATTATATAATAGCTTATAATATATAAAGGTTAAGTTAAGACTTTAATTTTATTAAATTTATTTATAATAAAGTACTTTATATATAAGTTAGAATACTAACTTCTTTATTATTATATATACTAGACTATAGTTATATAAAAATAAGTAAAGCTATATCTTTATAATACTTTATATAATCTTAATATTTAAGAAATTAGGCTTATATAAAAGTAGGTATTTAAGTATAATATCTTTAAGGGTTAGTTAAAGGCCTATATTAATATATTACCTAGGCCTAATAATATATTATTAATTATAAGTTTAAGTCTATTAGATATAAGAGATATTTAAGATAAATTTATCCTAAAGTAAAGTATACTATTTTAGTCTAATTACCTATATATAAGTATAAGGTTAAGGTAGATTTAAAAATATCTTAAGGTTAAGTATAATTAGGATATAAAATTTAAAAATAAATATTACCTAGCTATTATAATAAATAAAAACAGAAGTAATAGTTTAAAAAAATAAAAGTTTATAATTAATAAGTATTTTTTAATAGGCCAGGAAGTAAGCTATTTAAGGTAATAAGAGAACTAAATCGTAAAGAATTAAAAGCCTAAGATAATAAATTATAAGCTATACTTTAAAAAGCTATTATTATATTTTAAAATAAAAGTAAAAATATTTAAAATTAAAAAGTAAAATATATTAATAAGGAAAATAACTTTATTATATTAAACCTATAACTTTATTAGCTTAGTTTTATTATTTACTTAAAGGATTTTAATAAAAAAAAGGACTTTTTAAAAGACTTAATTATTATAAAGTTATTATAACCTAACAAGGGGAAGCACTTATATTATATATAACCTACCTATAATCTAAGCCAATAATACAATAACTTATAAATAAACCTTATAATAACTATAAGCCTTATAATATAGCTTATAATATTAACTTATAACTTACTATAAGCCTAACTTATAATATTATAAGATATTATATTATATATATATATTTATTTAATAATAAATAAAACTTAGCTTATTAACTATTAATAAAACTTCTTTACTTAAATATACTTAACTTACTTTATTTATTATTAAGAGATATAATACTTTATAACTACTTAATATAATACCTTATAACTTTATAAATATTAAACGTAATATAAATTAGTTTACCTATTTAAAACTATTTTTATTATATATTAATAGCTCTTATTTAAAATATATTATATTAAATAATTAAGTAATATTATATTATTAATATATTTAATAATATTAATTTAATACTTCCTTATATTAAATTACTATCTAGCACTATTAAGTTAATAACTAAAGTCTAATAACTTTATAATACTATATATATTTTATAAGCTTAGGTAAATATATGCCTTATTATAATTACTAATAAAGGCAGTAATAAATATAACCTAGGTAAAGTACTTAAGCCCCCTAAATTAAAACCTTTTAGAGGCTAAGTTATTAATATAATCCTATTCCTAACTTAAATAAAGGCTTACTTCTGCCTTTATAAAAACAAGTTAAATACCTTAATAAAGAAACTTTTATATATTATAAGATTAATTTAAAGAAATATAAAAAATTAATTTAAACTTATCTTAAATAACTTCCTTAAAATAAAAAAAGGAATAAGTTTAAGATACTTAAAATATCTTTAGAAATTAAAAAAGCTTTAAATAAACCCTTAAAGATAATTTTAAAGTAATTAATAAAAAATAATAAGTTATAATAAAGTTACTTATATTTAAATAAACTAAGTTATATACTGCTTATTTTACTAAGTTTTAATAGCTTATATTTAAAATTAAATAAGATAATAAAGCCTTAATAAAAATTTATTATAAGAAATTAAAGGAAAAAGTTAAGGATAAATTATACCTAGTTAATAAACTTAAAGAAAGTCTAACTATATATATTACTATAATAATTAAGATTAAAAATAATAATATAAATATAAAAAAAAGAAAATAAATTATAAATAAAGTAATAATTTTAACTTATATTATCTTAGCTAATAATATAATAATAATTAAGGTAATTCTTAAAACTAAAGCTAATTATAAGGTAATTATTAAAATAATACCTTATTTTTTTATTTTTTTTTATTTTTTTAAGTTTATAAGTTAGCCTTAAAAGATATATCTAAGCATCTCTAGAGTCTAATATAGTTTAAACATTTATTGCCCCTACAGCCGGCAAAGCTTCATTAAGTCAAATCATCATAGTTAGCTGCCTCAATTGCAGCCTGAACCTAGCTGCACATATGCCAGCTGAAAAGCCCTGCTCATCAGCTGGCCCCAACCTTCTTCCTACAACCCACCTGAAAGGTCTTTCATCGACCTCTGCTGCCACGCTT